CGAACGCCTCCCATCTTGAGCCCTCCTCGGGGACCCACGCCCGCGCTGCCATGAAGTTGGACAGGAACGTCTCAGGGTCCTTGTCTGCGTTGTTCACGTCGACTTCTGACAGCTTCACGGCTTTCGCTCTGGACGGGTGCACGCCGTTGGAATCGGTCTGCGCGGGTTCTTTTCGCTTGATGAAGCCATCTTCGTCCTCCGAGTCTGAGTCTGAGTCCTGCTCGGCCTTGGCGGCGTTGATTTCGGACAAGAGTGATTGCTTGATTGCGTCTTGCTCCTGCTGGTATGTCCTGGGAGCCTCCTTCTCCTCGTCATCGCCACCAATGTCGCCTCTCAGAAGCTTCTCCCGCTGGTAGTCGCGGAGGAAAACCGGCTTCTCCTTCTTCTCTTTGGTCACCGCGGCGTTGTCGTCGTCGGGATTGAAAAAGGTGACGTCCTTGTCGTAGACGCGGGGATCCTTGTTTCGAATGGCTTGTAGTGTGGCGGATATTTGTGCGTCCAGATCCTCGGTCGCGAGGAAACCGTCTTCGTCTTCTGTCTCGTCGGTGGAAGAGGAGTCGTCGTCGTCGTCGCCCTCTCTCTTGAGCTTCTCCTCCACTTTGGGGGGGAACGTTAGCATGAGATTGCATTTGGTTGGATCAAACAACAAGGCCTTGGTTGGCACATACGTCTCTGTTTCTCTTCGCGCTTCTTGTTATGCTCGAATCGGCGGGCGTACTCCTCGTTCACCTTGAAGCCGGAGCTCCCAATTGCTGCTCCCGCATCGTCTGAGTCGGAGTCGCTGTCGTCGAGGAGCTTCCGCTTGTTGGGGTTGGACGGCTTGTCCTTGATTGCCGCGTGGGATGTTCGCCCCGCCATTGTGCCAGCTGTAACAGCCTCTGGAAGTCTAGTCAAAAAGAGAGATTCAATGAGGCGTCAATGTTGGCGAATATCGTGGGCAACAAACAAAAAAAAAGTTGCTTGAACGTTGAAGACCCGCGGCTGCAGCAGAAACTAGTCCCGTTAACCAACTTTTTTTTTTT